TGGATGGAATAAACGTGATAACACTACTGGGCCTTTCAAATCAGAGTAAATGTCTCCCTCTGAAACTTAATTTTTTTCCACCTACAAATTCTTAATTCTTCCCTAGGGATCTTCGGCAGGAAGGTGTCCGACAAGCCCATGGTAGCTGGTTCCGTCTCTCCTTTGTATACAACCACTATCTCTTCTTTGCCTGTATCCTGGTGGTGCTACTGGCCATCGTCCTATACCTTCTGCGGCTACGGCGAATTCACCACCGACAAACACGAGCCTCAGCTCCATTGGACTTGCTGTGGCTTGAAGAGGTGGTGCCCATGATGGGAGTACAGGTGGGGCCGTGAGGCTGGACCAGGACTAGAGAAGCTTGAGCACCCCCAAGTTGCTGCTCATTGAATTCCTCCACTTATATGGCCTCAGATGCTGTGATGCCTGACCTTGTGGATATTTGCCCTTGGAATTTCTACTTCACTTTCTACCATAATTCCTTCTCAGTACCCAGGTCTTCTCTGAGAGAAGCTATAATTTAATCTGTGAGGAACTAAATGACAGGAGATTGGTGCTAATATGGGGGACCAAGCTTTGTCCAAGTGAAGCAGGCTTCGACTCCTTCTTCTGAGAGGTCTGGTGTGTTCCTGAAATCTCACCTTTTCTTCCCTTGCTAAAGCATGAAGTTTGGCATTGGGCACACTGGAAGCCTGGTTGAAATGAAACTTGTAGCATCTGATACAAAGGCAGAGACATTCTAGCAAGTGCAGCAGCCCCTTCTTTCTCTGTAACAGAGATATCATTTATGTGGAGATCCACAGCCTTTAATAGGGATCCAAGATCTTTGCAGTTCAATGGACCACATAGGAATTTCCAGGCACCAAAATGATATTAACTTCCTTGCTTACTTGACAAAGAAGCCATCATGGGTGTGATCCAAGATCCCTGTCATAGTGTTGATGATGTTTTACATGATTTTAAAAGTTAGAACCCCTTCTAAATGAATGGTCTGTGGAAGATATTAGTATCTGATGTCTGGTATGACAAGGATAGAAAATGTTTCCATTTTTATGTGCCTCACAGGCTGTTTGGGCATTAATTTTGCTTTTTGAGCCTTAAGTGTGTTAGCAGGATGGAGAAACTGTGATGGGGACTGGGAACCTGGATTTGTCTGATTTTAGGTCACTGTTCCCTAGGCCTGTTTTTGTGAGCCCTTAAGCAGGAAGATACAAAGAGAGTTCTTTTATTTCACTGCTAAAATCAGTATGTAGTTTGGGGAATGTATTTGAATTGTTTTTAAAGAAAAGGGGAAGAATCAAGAGAGTGGGCAAAGGCAATAAAATCAAAGTTCTTATTAATTATTTCTGAGAAATAGAAGTTTTCTCAATTTCTGACTCTTGGAATGTCTGAAAGGGAGCAAATTCTAAACTTTGGAATAGACCATCTGTTAATAAGCCATCTGGCAACTTTCAGAACCTCTATTAAGAGACTGCTCAGTCACAAACAGCCCTTCCATTAATGAAGCGAGAGGAAAAGCCATTCACCCATTACCCTTCCAGAGTTTTGCTTCTCCTCCACATTTAGCCATTAAATTGCATGAGGATTTCTCATCATCGGGGTCCATATGGAATCTTTCTTATGTTTTACCCTTTCCTACATGTAGCCTTGAATGTCCTGTCCACAAATATGCTCCCAGGGGTGGGAGTATTTTCTTTTTTGTCACCTTTGATTTCTGGGATTAGATTAATAGGGGAAAAAGTCCCTGGCTTTGAAGAAAAAAAAGTAGAATTCTTCAAAAATAAATTTCATACTGGGAACAGAAAGGAATTAAATGCTCCATAAAACAGGGAAAAAGAAATTAAGATCATCCTAGAAATAAACTAAGATAAAAATAAGTATACTGACCCTTGGTTGGGATAAGAAGATAACCAGTCTTGCATAGTTTTAAAATTAGATAAACATGGACTAAACATGCAAAGACTCTGTTCCTTTTTTTTCCTTGGAGACAGGGCCTCACGCTGTCATCACCCAGGCTGGAGTGCAGTGGTGCAATATCATGGCTCGCTGCAGCCTCAACCTCCTGGGCTCAAGTAGTCCTCCCACCACAGACTCCTGAGTAGCTGGGACTACAGGTGTGCGCCACCACACTCAGCTAATTTTTTATTTTATTTTTTTAGAGATGGAGCCTCACTATGTTGTCCAGGCTGGTCTCGAACTCTTGGGCTCAAGCAATCCTCCTGCCTTGGCCTCCCAGAATGCTAGGATTACAGGCATAAGCTACTGCACCTGGCCTCTGTTTCCTTTGGAAATATCTTACCTTTCATTAGGGCTTCTTTCATAGCAATTTCCTTTGGTTTTTAAGACTTCTACATTGATTTGATTTTCGTTTATTATCTGTGCTCCATGAACCTTATGAACGCTGCTTAATAATGTCAAAATATGTTTTAGCTAGCCATTGCCTACTCAGGTAACATTTTCTTTTGCCCTAATATTGGTTTCAATATACTATCTTTGGTTTTCTTGTGAGATCTAATCAATGATGTAATCAGAAGCTACTTAACTGGCTAACAATGATCATACTCATGTACTAAAAATGAACTTGAAACAGGGAAGTAGTGATTGGTCCAATATGAAAGCTCTTAGTATTCTTCATCCTGGCTGTAATAATAGCCTTTATTTGTTAAACCTTTGTTATGTACCAGACACTCTTAAGGATTTTATGTATATTATTCAAACTGATACTACTCTATTCTTTTTATAGTTGAGAATCTCAGGATACCTATATTTATCACTTTTTCAATATATATGTATTTCTTATTGTCTTGGAGTGTTTAATGTGTTATATCCTGTTCATTACTTTAATATTATAGGATCTAGGCTTATCTTTATTACCATGAGCAAGGCTTCCAGGAGTTCCACAGTACTGAAGGAAAATTTTATCATATCCCTCAGGAGAACTGAATCGTTACTGTTGGTATTGGCTCCTTTGTTTCTTCTATTCTCCCAATTAATAGATTTTAAATGAAATCTCATTAGCTAGAAACAAAAGCCACTTATTCCTTGCTGAGGGCCAATTACTTAAATATATTGCTTCCCTATAATAAAATAATTTGCTTATAGAAGCAGAAATCTATCTTGCCATACCCTTTGGTTTTTAAAGATTTCTCTTCTATTTGCATTTCTGCACTTTGGTAGTTCTCCCATGAAGATAATTATGGTGTCATAAAATTCACATTCCACTGGTTCCTTTGAATCTTACCAACCACTCTTGTTTCAACAGAGACAATGAACCTGAACTGTTTTAGTACTCTTGTTATTACTGAGACAGGTCACAAATATCAAAATAGGAGTCAGTGGCTTGTAGTGATGCTTTTTAGTCTTGTGATAGCACAATCCATCACTTTCCCCAAAATTCTTGTCACAAGAACATAATGAAAATATGTAAAATACCCACTTATGTGGCATTTCATTCACTTAAGTTGCAGTTAACTCTAAGCCAAATTATACCATTTTTTCTCTCTGTACTTTAGCTCCTTGAATTTCCTTAATCTGGGAAACTTTTGTTCCCACACGAAGGAACAAATTCAGGGGGTACAAGTGCAGGTTTGTTACATGAGTATGTTGAGAGATGCTGAGGTTTGGGGTACAGATCCCATCGCCAGGTGGTGAGTATAGTACCTAACAGAGAGTTCTTCAACCCGTGCCCTCCTCTCTCCCTCCCTGCTCTATTAATCCACAGTGTCTATTCTGGTCTCGGAAATTTTCATTACTTTCCACCAATCTTCTATTTATTCTCCAAATGTCTTTCAAAGTATCCTGCCCCACCCACTTCTCATCCTAAAAGATTCCTTTAACTTCAAGATCATGGCCGGTGATTGCTGAAAAATGTCTGCCATGCACTTGCTAATAGTCTTTTTAGACATTAACATTTATTATCACATCCATATTTAAATTTTTGAAATAATTTATACTTCTCACCGGTATCATCTAAACAGATGCTTCTCACAGTTTTATGTTCTGCTTTTTGTCAGGGATGAAAGACAAGTGAGTGGTATCACTTAAGGGAAAGAACAGTAGGCTTAACGAATAGCAGACCTGGATTCTAGTTCTGGCTTTGTCATTTACTAGCTCTGGTACCTCAGGCCAGTCACCTGCCATCTCTGGTTTGGTTCTCATCTATCAAACAAAGTGGCTAGACAAGATTAGAAACTAAAGGCAGAAGACAAGGTAGAAAAATCAGGATTTTGGGAAGAGCATTTTGTCCTTTGGTTTAGAAGACCAGGCTGCCCAAAAGAGCCTCCTATTTTATTCATAACCCCTGATGATAAGGTTGGTGGGAATGGAGTTTCTAATAGCAATCACAATAAATTTCAGAAGAGTTTTAAAGCTGGGATTTTAAAGGTCTTCTAGTCAACCCCCTTGATTTATATGGGGGATGAAACTGAGGCCTAGAGCAGTTGTAATATGTGCAAAGTCATAGTGACTGGCCTTCTAGGCCCCGGGTTTCTGTGTAACACAGACACCCCAACTACTTTGTCAGCTACAATGAAATGCTCATTAACAGAATCTTTCTGCAAGTATAAACAGAATTTATTCTTTATAAAACAGCTGGCCACCACTAACCATGCCCAATCTTTACGACTGCTTCTGACATTCATTTATGACTGCTTTGCTCACATTTAGGAATCAACTTTGAAAAAAATACTTTGTTAGAAATAGTGCCAAGTTTTCACTACATCTATTCTAGTTCCTGTATTTTTTGTACTTTTAAATTTTATACATCTTTTTATAACAATTTTATACAATTTCCTTTACTACAACATCCCAGCAATTCATTAGATAACTACAGCCTAGATGAAGGTTAAATGCCTATTACATCTGCCTCATTAAAGAACTTCATTGTAATTCTTGGGCAGTTTCCAGACTCTGTTACAGAAACAGAGCTGTTTCTTTTTGCTGTCTTTGAACTTTTCAAATTAATTCAAAACTAGTATCTAATTGTCCTTTTTGCTGTGGTATGTGGTGTAATGTTGATTGGGAATAAGAATTATGGTACAAATAGCAGATGTTTCAAATTCTCCCATATTAGTCTCTTAGGGACACTAGCGCCAGAGTCCAGCCCCTGGGGCAATAGGCTCTGTCAAACTTGTGAGAATTTTGCTAGTGTTACAAAAAATATTGCTGTTAAAAACTACGACTCAAAACCAAAAGTTGTGATTAATAACAACAGGATTATTAGCAATAATATTTTGATTAATACTATAGAATAGCAAAGAGTGAATATACCTCAAATTGAAAACTTTTAGGTTGTGTTCTTGGCTCTCTCTCTCTCATAACCCTGGATCTAAGTTGGAAAGCTGTGGCACCCTGTTTGGGTGTCCCATCTACCCTGTTTTCTGTTTCTGTAGATGGCTTGTTCAAGCTTCATTTTAAGCCTGCTCTGTCTACTTTAATCTTACTTATATCCTAACAGACTTCTCTTGTGTTAGTACACATTTCTCTTTTGCTCTAATATTTCATGATTTTCCAGTTTGTCGGTACTGTTATTAGAGGGACAGGGAAGGAACAACACACCAGTTGACCATTTTGTTTCTCTGAAAATGTGAGCAATAAGGAGATCCTTTTATTAATAAAACTGAATCATTACTCATACTACAAGGGCTTTCACTTTTAAAATGTAATCTATCATTGCTTCCATTTTTATGAACACCAAAGTTGAAAAATTTTCTGAATCACAGGCTACGTATAGCCACATATGCATGACTTCAGGCTAGCATAAAGACATGTCTGCTCCTGAGCCTCTTCTTTTAAAGTAGGGCAGCCACTGTATACCCTCTGGTGGCCCACTCGTTCTCCACTCCAGGGCAGCCCTGGTACTTTCCTAAGCGGCCCCTCGTACAGAGCGCTTGCTGCCGGTGAAGACTGCCCCTTACTAGCTTCTGCAAGAAGGGATCCCAGACACACACTTTGGTTTCTAGTATTTCAGTTACTATGTTGTATTTGAAATTCTCATTCCACAGTTCCCCTTTAGTTGAAGTCCTGAAGTACATGCCATGTCTCCCCCTTTATTTCTACCTTGATCAATGGCCTCTGCGGAGTGTGGTGAAAGACATCTTTTTATTATGATCCACAACTAGACACTGCACACTTCAAAAAACCAAAGGCTGCCTGTATTACATTGCTTTGGGGAGCTGTTAAGACTCTGTTTTTCTACTGCTTCACATTAAACAATAATTTTGTTGAATTTTGAATTCTTAAAATTCTCACTGACAAACATTTTAAGTCAGTGTTGAGGAAAATGTGTGATGCATGTTAGAGAGGTAATGCATTCTCCCTTATGCAGGGACATGGGTATATGTGTTACATATGCTGATATATAACCCACCATTCATCCCAGGACCACAAGGGTAGCTGCAGATAAATTGGTTATCCTAAAATCATGATCATCAGTGTTGATCTCTGCAACCAACATTGCTTTATGGAGTTGCTAATCATTACCCTTACTACAATAGAATTTGTCAGTCTAAGTTATAGACAAAAATTCTAGGTTGACTGATTAAGAAAGCCATGTGTTTTAATTTCCTTTATGTTTTAAAAACAATGGACATCAGTACAGAGAGACCTTTGAAAATATTAAGGGAGATCTAGTTAATCCTATAGGTACGTGATGGCTGTTTTTTTTGAAAAAGATATTTGGGACATCAATCTGTAATTGTTAATTTTCCATTCATGCATTCACTAATTCAATATTTGATATGTGACTGGGAGTGCTGGGAATAACATAAACACAAAAAATAACTAAGATAATCATCATTCACCGGAAGCTCATAGGTGGCATAATACAGGTATATAGCTAAATGCAACCAGTTGTTTTTCCAAATGTATTCATCATCTGTAATAAAAGAAAAATGAAGTAAAACATCTGAAACCTTAACTTACGAGTTGCTACTTCCTTGGAGAGAACTGTAGAAGCATTAATATATGGTTGTTTGGGTTGGGTCATACTGCCCTCTGCTGACTCAGTTATTAACTAAGGAGAACCTGGGTTTGAGGATCAGGAGAGGATAGTATGGGAACTTGCCTCAGAAATACAGTTCCCTTTCTTTGAAGGAGTCTATCCAGAAGACACCATATCCTACTAACGTACGCAGGATCAACAGAGCAGATCAAATGATAAGGTAGGGTGGATATTAGAAGGGAATGGGAATAAGCTAATAAGAACTTTCTAAGGTAACTAGGCTATTAGGACCTAAGTCGGTGGTCCCTAGACTTGTCTGCACATTTGAATCACCTGGGGAACTTTAAAAATATGCCTTTTACTGCCTCCAGGGATTGTGACTTAATTGGTCTTATATGAGGCTTGGGTTTTGGGATTTTTCTAAGATTCAAATAAGACAGAAGTTGGGAATTTCTTCTAGGCAATAGCATAAGCCCACCCAAGGTCCAGGATTTATGAAAAATTGACAAACTGTTTTGCTAAGAATCACCTGTGTTAGTCCGCTTGCGTTGCTATAAGGAAATACCCGACAATTTTTATAAAGAAAAGAGATTTATTTGGCTCACAGTTCTGCATAGAACTGTATAGGAAGCATGGCGCTGGCATCTGCTTCTGGTGAGAGCCTCAGGAAGCTTACAATCATGGTGGAAGGGGAAGGGGAGCCAGTGTGTCACATGGTGAAAGACAGCAAGAGAGAGAGGAGGAAGTTCCAGGCTCTTTTGAACAACCAGAGTGAGAACTCACTCATTACTATGGGGATGGCACGAAGTCATGCATAAGGGATCCGCCCCCATGAACCAAATACCTCCCACTAGGCCCACCTCTAACACTGAATGTCACACTTTGAACATGAGATTTGGAGGGGACAAAACATCCAAACCATATCACTACCTGAGAATGATACACTACAGGTCACACAGAAACTTCCAGAGTACTGGAGTTGAAAGAAAACTGAGATCACCTAGTTCAGAGATTAAAAATGGAAAACGTTAGGTCATTTATGGCTCTCAGACATGTTAAGCCTGCATAACATTTTTTAAAATCTTGAAATTAGTTCCCAACACTTAACTGAAAGCTTTCACAGAAAAATATAGATATGTGTCTTTTTTAAAAAAAAAAAAAAAAAAAAAAAAAAAGAATATTTGGTACCTTAAACACTGTAAAATTAACATTTATATCTGAATCCAGCATCTCTTTTTGCTTTGTAAATGAGGTCAAGGATGAAATCCAGATGTTCTCCCTTTGTATTTATCTTGTCACTGTATGGAATCTAGGTATATCCAAGGAAAACTAAACTTAAGATAAACTTATTTTCCTTATTTCAAAAAGCAACAAAAACCCAGAAATCTAACAACCCTGGACCTGTAGAGCAGCAGCAGCAGAACAAAGCTCAGTAGTTTAGTCTGAGCTGGGGCACCTGCTCGCCAGTGTTACTGTCTCCACCAGCCTGACCCCAGAGCATTTGATTTGTCTACCCTACTCTTGCCTTCTACAGAACTAAAACTAACTTCCTGCAACTTTCACCCATTGCTGCCAGGTCTGCAGCACAATGGAAGCTCATTCCCTCTTCTGCATGAGATAGCTTCAACTTCTCAAGGACAGGAATCTTGCTCTCTCCCCAGATGTTCTCTTCTCCAGTTAAATATCCCCAGTTCCTTCAACTATTCCCTGTGTGATAGGGGTTCTGGACTCATCACCATTCTGGTCTCTTCTTCTGGATACACACTTAGTGGCCATCAATATCTTGCTTAAATTTGGTACCCAGAGTGAAATGCAACATGTTAGGGGTATTCTGACTATGGCTGTGACACTTCTACTGATAAAACCTGAAGTACCACTAATTTTTCTGTGTTATATAATAACAACATGAATACTAGTTGGTTCATATTGAACCTGAGGACAACTGAAATCCTCAAGTCTTTTTTATATGAAATGATATAAGGCCAGGTTTCTTCAGCCCAAACTTCTACAACTTATTTAATTTGAATGAGTATATTTCTAATCTGTTTACTTTCTTCTCAATGGCGTCACTCTGGGACTGTTTTCAGTTGCCACTGTCATCTATTATATTAGCAATATTGGGTTGCTGCATCCTCAAATCAGATGTTCCTGATACCTTCATCCAAATCGCTGATTTTAAAAATAAAGTTAAATAAGACAGAGCCCTATGAAATATCAATAGAGACTAAAATCACATTAATTCAGCAGTCAACAATTTGTTTAAATATCTGAATAGATGTCCATGTACTACACCATCAAGGCCATATTTTTCTTATTACAAAGTTGTTAGGAAACCCTCTCAGGAACCAATTTATACTGTCAATTCCATTCCTCTCTCTGACCTTGTAATGTTAACATCCTTACCAAAAGAGGAACTAGCTGGGAGCGGTGGCCCACGCCTGGAATCTCAGCACTTTGGGAGGCCGAGGTGTATCAGGGGAACCCACCTCTGATAGTTAATATGGGTTCTTTTCTATTTCCCTAAGTGTCCAGGCTGGTTTGAGAAATAAAGGGAAAGAGTACAAAAGAGAGAAATTTTAAAGCTGGATGTCTGGGGGAGACATCACATGTTGGCAGGTTCCGTGATGCTCCCCACACCATAAAACCAGCAAGTTTTTATTAGCGATTTTCAAAAGGGGAGGGAGTGCACGAATAGGGTGTGGGTCACAGAGATCACATGCTTCACAAGGTAATAAAATATCACAAAGCAAGTGGAGGCAGGGCGAGATCACAGGACCACAGGATGGGGCGAAATTAAAATTGCTAATGAAGTTTTGGCATGCATTGTCATTGATAACATCTTGTCAGGAGACAGGGTTTGAGAGCAGATAATGTCTGACCAAAATTTATTAGGTGGGAATTTCCTCATCCTGATAAGCCTGGGAGTGCTACAGGAGACCGGGGCTTATCTCATCCCTTGACCATAAAAGACAGCCGCCTCCCAGGTGGCTGTTTATAGACCTACCCTCAGGGCGCATTCCCTTTCCAGGGCGCATTCTCTTTCTCCGGGATTTCCTTGCTGAGAAAAAGAATTCAGCGATATTTCTCCTATGTGCCTTTGAAAGAAGAGAAATATGGCTCTGTTCTGTCGGCTTACCGGCAGTCAAGAGTCCAAAGTCTTATCTCCCTTGTTCCCTGAACATTGCTGTTATCCTGTTCTTTTTTTCAAGGTGCCCAGATTTCATACTGTTCAAACACACGTGCTCTACAAACAATTTGTGCAGTTAACGCAATCATCACAGGGTCCTGAGGCGACATACTTCCTACTCAGCTTATGAAGATGATGGGATTAAGAGATTAAAGTAAAGACAGACATAGGAAATCACAAGGGTAATGATTGGGGAAGTGATAAGTGTCCACGAAATCTTCACAATTTATGTTCAGAGACTGCAGTGAAGACAGGCGTAAGAAATTATAAAAATATTAATTTGGGGAACTAATAAATGTCCATGAAATCTTCACAATTTATGTTCTTCTGCCGCAGCTTCAGCCGGTCCCTCCGTTTGGGGTCCCTGACTTCCAGCAACAGAGGTGGGCAGATTACCTGAGGTCAGGAGTTCAAGACCAGCCTGGCCAACATGGTGAAACCCCTTCTCTACTAAAAATACAAAATTAGCCAGGCATAGTGACTTGTGCCTGTAGTCCCAGCTACTTGGGAGGCTGAGGCATGAGAATCGCTTGAACCCAGGAGGTAGAGGTTGCAGAGTGAGCTGAGATCATACCACCGCACTCCGGCCTGGGCAACAAGAGTAAAACTATCTCAGGGAAAAAAAAAAAAAAAAAGGCAACTATTTGGTGATTACCTCCTTTTCCAAGTACTTACAAACCATTTTGCTACATATACACATTAAGCTTGTCAAAATCTGCAATTTCCCCATTTCTGAAAATCAGGATATTAGAAGACATTAGCTTTTTTTTTTTTGCTGAAGACCAGCTGGCTACTTTGGGTATGTCCATCCTATCCTTTCAATCTTCACCTAATGGAAGTAAACTTAAGATCATAAAGAAATTCTATTTAGGCAGAATTAAGGACTCAGGAGAACAAGGAGACAGAAATTATCCATGTAGAACGAAGAGCTTGCCAACACCGAAAAACCTGACACAAAGCCTGTTAGGCAGTAAATGGCAGACATTTCTTTCTCTACATTAAAACTGATTTTCAACATGAAAAGCAGATTTACAGGGAACCTTTAGGGTAACCACACTTAATGCATTCTTGATCCAGTGACTACCTCAAAACAGGAAAAGATTTTTAAGTAAGTTGACCATTTGGAAACCACTGGGTATGTGAAGGTCATCTCGTAGAAAAGCCCAAGTTCTTAGGATCTCTGAAGAGCTCTCAAAAGCAGTCACAGTCCCAAGAAGCTGGTCCTCTAAGAATCATTTTGGGACTCTTCGGAGTTCATTCATCAGCCAAAGAGCACCAGTGAGCAAAGCCAAGGAGCCTGACTGGTGAGTGGCGGCCAGAGGAGTTGGGACGTACATCAGCAGCGTGCTGATGCCCAGGCCCACCTGTCACAAAGGAAAGAAGGCAATAGGAAAGGCAGTAACCCAAAGTTCACATTGAAAATGACCAGGCATGGATAACCACACACAAACCTCCACATCCTCCTATCAGAGCACTTAAAATACACACATTTTTAATTTCACAAGAAAATATGCTTACAATGAAAGAAATTCGACCAAAATTGATAACCCTAAAATTCCCCTTAATTATCCTTCATTCCATCCCAGTTCCCCACAGTAGTCACTGTTACCAGTTTCTGCACCCTTGTACTTTAATATGTTTATAGAGAAATATATAGTTTTGGGCTTTTAAAAAACATATTGTTTTATCACTTGCTTTTTTTCATTTAGCAATATACGGTATATATTGAGATCTTATTAAACTGCTGTGCAGTATCGCATAGTATGGATATACCATAGTTTGTTTTGTTTTGTTTTGTTTTGTCTTGAGACAGAGTTTCACTCTGTCTGCCAGGCTGGAGTGCAATGGCATAATCTCAGCTCACTGCAACCTCCACCTCCAGGGCTCAAGCAATTCTCCTGCCTCAGCCCCCCCGAGTAGCTAGGATCACACGTGTGTGCCACCACGCCCAGCTAATTTTTGTATTGTTTAGTTGAGATGGAGTTTTGCCATGTTAGCCAGGCTGGTCTCGAACTCCTGACCTCAGTAATCCACCCACCTTGGCCTTTCCCAAAGTGCTGGGATTACAGGCGTGAGCCACTGTGCCCAGCCCATAGTTTTTTAACTGTTTAGGTTGTTTCCAATTTTTCACTACCACAATTCTATGATGAATTTTCTCATATAAAAGGTCTTTGTGCATAGGACTGTTTCTAGGACAGACACTAATAAGTCCATTTGCTGGGCCAAAGAATTATCCATTTAACTTTTAAAAGATATTGCCAGCCTGGGTGACAGAGTGAGACTCCGTCTCCAAAAAAAATAAAAAAAGATATTGCCAAATTGCCCTCTGGAAAGAACTGTACTAACTCATGCTCTCACCAAGAATATCTGAAGGTATCCATTTTCCTATGCCCATGGCAATACCTGATTATTTTTTTTCATTTTTTTCCAATTTGATGGGCACAAAATGGTATTTATTTTTTAAATTTGCGCCTTTGATTATGAGTGAAGCTGAACAGCTTTTCATGTTTACTGGCCATTAATCATTCTTTTTGTGGTAATTGTGTATTGATGTCCTTTACTTATTTTCCAGTTATTAATTTTTAAATTTATTATAAATATGGAAAAATATTTTCTCCTAGTCTGTCACCTTTCTTTTTTTTTTTTTTAAACAGGGTCTCACTCTGTTGTCTAGGCTAGGGTGCAGCAGTGTGATCTTGACTCACTGCAGCCTCAGCCTCCCTGGCTCAGGTGATCCATCTCAGCCTCCCGAGTAGTTTGGACTACAGGCAAACACCACCATGCCCATCTAATTTTTTATTTTTTTGTAGAGATGGGGTTTTGCCATGGTGCCTAGGCTGGTCTCAAATTCCTGGCTCAAGTGATATGCCCACCTAGCCTCCCAAAGTGCTGGGATTACAGCCGTGAGCCACTGTGCCCGGCCCCTTTTTTAACTTTGTATTGGGGATACTGTCAGAACAAAAAGAAATGGTTTATACCTGTGTATACGCCAAAGCCAGCAGAGTCACTGCTGCCATCTTGGTCCTTCTAGGAAGGGGAATTCTCCGAGAGAGGAAGTAGAGCACTGTAATGGCAGTGACTGAAGTGATTCCCTGCAGGGAAGAAAGATTCTATCACATTAGATAGAAGTGCCAGGTTTCTACTCACCTTACATGTACTTCCTCTAGAACCATGAAGTTCCATGAAGTTCCTTCAGCAACCATGAAGTACTTTCCTGTACCAGTCACGGAGAACCTCCCTGCAGTCCCACCCTGATTACTTCTCCACAGGCTGTCTCTTCCACCGTCCTCTTCTGCTTGCCACTTAAACATCAGTATCACCTAGGGATCCACCTAAGATGCTGTATGTACCACTTCATACACCCTCGCTCTCAGTGATCTCATCCACTTTCCAATATGGGTGTCCTCTCATTTTTAAGTCACTCTTTGCGTCCTTATCCCTAACCGTATCTCTAATCCTATATTCTTAAAGCAGGGCTGACCCCAGCACATGAGGGTTATTATTTTCCTGGGCTGAGAGTGGAGAAAGTGCTGGTGCTGCCAGCTGGTGCTAAAAAAGACCTAAAGTCTCATTTTCATTCCTATCTCTTCAGAACAAGGGTCCAGGACTGGCAATAATGGTCCCCTTCCTCTCCCACGGTATCAGGGAGAATGTTTTCTATCATATTTCTACATTTATTTCACATCGTCTCCTTTTCAGAGCTGTCCACAATGACAATTTCAACCAGGCTTTACTTATGCTAAGATACTGTGTGCAGGTGGGGACTCAGCCCACACCAGGTAACACGCTTCAGCCCAGCCCCCATTGGACAACTGAGTCCTCTGGCCCCCTCTCTCTGGATGTGCTGCTCTCATCTCACACTCAACATGCCTGCATCTGATGACATCCTCCCACCTCTAGCTCCATACTCATTCCAACGGCCCCATCCCTATAAGTCATGTTTTAGGCATGCTACAGAAGACACTTTGGAATTTCACTTGATCTTTCTTCACCTTCATTCCTGACAGCCAATCTTATTAACTCTCTTCATTTATTTATTTATTTATTTATTGTAGAGATGAGGTCTCCCTGTGTTGCCCAGGCTGGTCTTGAACTCTTGGGCTCAAGCAATCCTCTTGCCTTAGCCTCCCAAAGGGCTGGGATTACAGGCATGAGCCACTGTGCCCACTGCTCTTATTTTTAAATTAAATTTAATTGTTTAAGAGACAGGCTCTCACTCTGTCTCCCAGGCTAGAGTGCAGTAACGTGATCACAGCTCGCTGCAGTCTCAAACTCCTGGGCTCAAGCAATCCTCTCGCCTCAGCCTCCCAAAGTGCTAGGATTATAGGTGTGAGCCACTGTGCCCAGCCTCTGTTCCTTTAAATTCTCTCTCAAATGCATCATTCTTCTCAAGTCCCACTCCCACCATGTAGGCCCCATCTCCATCGCTCTCCCTGGCATCGCACAGCAGCACTATGCTTCTCACAGTCTCCTTACTGCTCATCTTTCCCCGCTCCAATTCATCACACACAGGCCTCCAAGCCAATCTTTAAATGGCCCGTAGCAGAACCTCAAAACATATTAGCTTAAACAGAATGAAAAGTACTAGTGAAGCTCCTGGCTCCTTGAGCTTCTGGTTTAGCTCCGAGAGCTATGTGCTTAGCAACTATGGTTTCTGCATTCTCTTCTCTACTCAACCACATTTCTGCTGAAATGACTTTCTAGGTATGTGCAGGATTGAGGGAGGTTATCACTTGCCAAGTGGTAAAAGGCACATTCGAACTTTAAGAAGCTGGCAATGTCCTGAAAGCTAGAATTTGGCTGGGGTAGGGGGTCGGGGGGACAGGGGTGAGTAATGAGGACAAAGATATTAAATTAGAGAAATGGTCCTAAAATTTCTCCAAAGAGAGCAGAAAGTATGGTTCCTGCTCTACTCTGTCAGTGTTGCCATCAGTGCTTCACTGACACCCCAAAGCCTATGATAGGCTCCTGTGCTCTCTGGCAGGTACCCACCAGCTACACTTACCAGAATCCGGTGATCAAACTGCACCGTGGTGGGATTCTCAAAAACATTCCTCAGGATGGGGGAGAAGGTAAAGAGGTCCTCTGGGATCCAGGATTCTCCCATTTTGGGAAAGGAGTTGTAAACAAGCCCAGCATCTAGCCCTGCCACAAAAGCCCCTGTATTCCAAGGTAAATGGTATTTATTAAAATGAGAAGAAGAAACCAAATACTAGTTCTGACATAGAAAAAGTCTGTTATCCCTGAGTTAAACTAAGGGAACAGTCAGAGAACAATAGAAAGATCTACAACAGAGGTTCTCCAACAGGGAAGACACATCACAATCACCACGGAAACTTCAAATCTCTGCATCCTTACCTGCTCCCACCCTAAGATTCTGCTTCCTCTAGAGAAGTGCAGTAGAGGCTGCGGTGTGGGGGGAGGGGGAGAGGCTTACTAGCTTAGAAAAATTCCCTTAGTGATTTTGATGCCCTCTTCACCCCGCCACTGAGTGCTACTGATTTTAGAAATGCTCTCCCACAGATGTCTGCATGACTGACTCCCTTACTTCCCCAGCTTCCACTCAGATGTCACCTTACCAAAGAGATTTCGCTTGATGATCCTATATAAAATGGTACTCCCCTAGCACACTTTCTGTCTCCTGACCCTAATTTATTTTTCTTCATGGCACTAAATATCATCAAACACATTATGTTTCCATTGTGCATTATCTGTCTTCCCCAAATGCTCAATAAATGTTTGTTGACTGAACACGGAAGTGAGAAAAATCCCAAAACTTATAAACTAAATCCTGCATAAACAAATAAAGAGGGTATTCATGAATTAATGGATGTCTGATCTATTATTTATTATCAAAGAAAATCCAGAAATGTTTGGGTCACACTCCCTTTTCTCTTTCTCTTTTTTTTTTTGAGACGGAGTCTGGCTCTGTCCCCCAGGCTGCAGTGCAGTGGCACGATCTCGGCTCACTGCAATCTCTGCCACCAGGGTTCATGTGATTCTCCTGCCTCAGTCTCCTGAGTAGCTGGGACTATAGGTGCCCGCCCTTTGGTAGAGACGAGGTTTCACCATGTTGACCAGACTGGTCTCAAGCTCCCAACCTCAGGTGATCCGCCTGCCTCAGCCTCCCAAAGTGCTGGGATTACAGGCATGAGCCACTGCGCCCGGCCTTTTTTTCTTTTTTTTGAGTCAGGGTCTTGCTCTGTCACCCAGGCTGGAGTGCAGCAGTGCAATCTCAGCTCACTGCAGCCCCGACCTCCTGGGTTCAAGCAATCCTCCGGCTTCAGCCCCCTGAGTAGCTGCGACTACAGGCACACAACACCACACATGGCTAATTTTTGTAATTTTTGTAGAGATGAGGTTTTACGATGTTCCCCAGGCTGGTCTTGAACTCCCTGGCTCAAGCAATCCACCTGCCTCAGCATCCCAAAGTGCTGGAATTACAGGTGTGAGCTACCATGCCCAACCCACTCCATATTTTTTTGAAACGTCCCTTATGAAGTAAAAATTCATGCTCTTTGCCAAAAATAAAAGTGTTGAGTGGCTCATTGGTTTGAATCAGTATTATTTTTATTCCAGAGCAGTGCTATCAATAGAACTTTCTGTGAGAGTGGAAGTGTTCTATATTTGCACCGTCCAATACACTAGCCCCTAGCCACATGTGCCTATGGAGCATCTGAAATGTTGCTAGTGTGAATGAAGAACTACATTTTAAATTTTATTTAACCTTAATTAATTAAAGTTTCAATATCCACATGAGGCTACGGACTCCTCTACTGGATAGTGCAGTTCTCAAATGAGAGCAGCAGAGGTGGAAGTGTGGTTTAAAGAATGAAAAAAGCCAGGCGTGGTAGCTCATGCCTGTAATCCCAGCACTTTGGGAGGCTAAGGTGGGTGGATCACCTGAGGTCAGAAGTTGGAGGCCAGCCTGGCCAACATGGTGAAACTGCCTCTCTACTGAAAGTACAAAAATTAGCTGTGTGTGGTGTCGTGCACCTGTAATCCCAGCTACTTGGGAGGCTGAGGCACGAGAATTGCTTGGACTCAGGAGGCAGAGGTTACAGTGAGCTGAGATCACGCCACTGCACTCCAGCCTGGGCAACAGAGTGAGACTCGGTCTCAAAAAAAAAGAATGAAAAAATCCTGTGTTGGTCTCTCTGTGCCAATGAACTCTCCACCTGCAACCATCTCTGAGGGCAAGCCTTTTGTCTGACCCATCTTGATGTAATGTGATGATAACAATAATGTTTATATAATAGTAACAGCTAACACTTATGTAGCCTTTGCTGCATGCTAACAATTATTCTACACATTTCACATTTAGCAGTCATACTGTTGTCATAACCTCCATTTTACACATAAGGTCTCTAAGGCCCAGAGAGGTTACAGAGCTTGCAAAGGTCATACAGTTCATAGGTAGTGAAGCCAGGATTTGAACCTAAGCCATCTGGATCTAGGTAGATGTTCAATATTTTTGTTCAATTGACAGTAAAGTAGAATTTTTGGAAGAGAGAAAGGAACAGGAAACAGTGGGTGAAGATAGTGGGAATGAGAGAAACAGATGTGAAAAGGAAATATAAAGATGCAGGAGGACGAGGCAAAGCGTTAGGCAAGAGGTCCCAGCTTAGAGTGCGATGCAAACAGGTCATCTTTGATAAGCTGAGTCCTACCTGAGAGAGCCGTAAGGAACACCAGACCTGCTGTTCCATGAGCAAATCGTCTCAACCATAAGAGTGGACGGGTTTCAGGCAACTAAACAAGAAAAAACATCATTCAGTTAAACTGTGTTTCAGGAACAATGAGAGGCACCAAAGATCTCCAAGGCCAAACCCAAGTGACAAATTAAGATCAGAGCTTCTCTGACCCCGAGACTAAGTTAAGTACTTCTGGTAGACATTCTGTTCCAACATGTACTGTATTTTATTGTAATTATACTTCTACCCCACAAGTTTTGTGAAGGCAGAAACTGCCATCTTTTTTACTACAGCAATCTTAGCCTAGTGATTGGCACATAGGTACTCATTACGTATCTGTTCAAAATCTGAATGATTTACATTATTCAGGAAGCAAGGCTTCATCATGGTTGAAAGGATGTAGCTTAAGATCAGGACTGGATTTTCATGTGTGTGATATTAGTGCTTAGCAAATATAGTAAGAATTGAAATTGCATAAAATGCTTAGAGATTCCTGCATTTAGTGTTTTTGATAAAATGTTTTCATTCTTATTACCACCAACTTCTAATACTAATCAGTGAATCATCAAATATGAGTAAGAACTTTATAAACAGGTTACTATAAAGATACAAAGGAGTTATGTCAGAATGCTACCCTCAAATGGCTTACACTCTATATGAAAAGTTAGGTATCATTACTAACATATCATATTATCAGCACTGTCCAATAGAACTTTCTGTGATGATGGAAAAGTTCTATCATCTACCTAAGAAGAGCTTGAAACATGGCTAGTATGACTGAAAATTAAATTAAAAATTAATTTTATTTAAATATAAAGTTTGAGTAAACAAAAAGCTTATGTAAATAAAGTTAACTTTATTTAATTAAAAATTTTTTTTTCTCACTTTGTCGCTCAGACTGGGGTGCAGTGGTGCAATCTTGGCTCACTGCAACTTCCACCTCCCAGGCTCAAGTGATTTGCCTGCCTCAGCCTCCCAAGTAACTGGGATTACAGGCGCGTGCCACTGTTGCCCAGCTAATTTTTTAACTTTTAGTAGAGACGGGGTTTCACCATGTTGGCCAGGCTGGTCTCGAACTCCTGACCTCAAATGATCCACCCACCTCAGCCTCCCAAAGTGCTGGGATTACAGGCGTGAGCCACCGTGCCCAGCCTTAATTAATTAAAATTTAAATAGCCATATGTAGTTAGTAGCTACTGTGTTCGACAGCATAGCACTATATGGTTCATTGGCTAGCATCTCAAATCCTTTTTGTAATTAGGTGAATCTAAACAAACAGAGAAAAACAATTAATTGATAAAGTCATCAGTAATCTTTAAGAGTACAATTTCAGCAGCAAGAGTGTGTGGGTTTATGTGTAAGTGTGGGTAAATGTGAGAGTGTGTATGTATTGGGTTGGGTGAGGAAGATAATTACAGGGATTGAAAAGAAGGAATAGATTGTCAGGAAGCAACAGCTATAGATGCAGGCAAAATGAATCCATTAAAATGAATTCATTTTAGAAGTTTGGCTTTGACGGGCACGGTGGCTCACACCTGTAATCCCAGCACTTTGGGAGGCTAAGGCAGGTGGATCACCTGAGGTCAGGAGTTCAAAAGCAGCCCAGTCAACATGGCAAAATTCCGTCTCTACCAAAAATACAAAAAAATTAGCCAGGCATGGTGCTGTGCACCTGTAGTCCCAGTTACTCAGGAGGCTGAGGCAGGAGAATTGCTTGAACCTGGGAGGTGGAGGTTGCAGGAGCTGAGGTCACACCACTGCACTCCAGCCTGGGCAACACAGCAAGACTCCATCTCAAATAAATAAATAAAAGAAGTTTGGCTTTGAAAGTTAGGAGACTTTCAAATAATTCCTTATGTTTCAGATGTGGAATTACTCAGTGGTTGTCTACTATATCAATATTTCAACCCAATTTGGCTTCTCTGTGGGAATGACTGCCAAGACAACATGTCCGGTCCTTATTGGAATCTAGCTACTGGCTCCAAGTACCTAACGGATGATTCGACTCAAGAGTCCTGCTGTCATCTCAAACTTTTCTCCAGGAACAGCTTACTCAGGTCAACCCATGATTTCAATACCTAATATAAGACTCTTTTTTTTTTTTTTTTGAGATGGAGTTTCGCTCTTGTTGCCCAGGCTGGAATGCAATGGCACCATGTTGGCTCACCACAACCTCTGCCTCCCGGATTCAAGCAATTCTCCTGCCTCAGCCTCTCAAGTAGCTGGAATTACAGGCGTGCGCCACCACACCTGGCTAATTTTGTATTTTTAGTAGAGATGGGTTTCTCCATGTTGGTCAGGCTGGTCTCGAACTCCTGACCTCAGGTGATATGTCTGCTTCTGCCTCCCAAAGTGCTGGGATTACAGGCAGGAGCCACTGCGCCTGGCCAAGACTCATTTAAAAAAAAATTCTAGGGAAAAAAAAATGTCCTATAAGGGTGTGGTGTCTTGAGACCTCTATTATTAATGAAGGTCTCAAAAATATGTCATACCTTGCTTTGAAATCAAAGCATGAAATGAAAAGCTAGTATTTTCCTTTAATCAGCAAACAGAAAAATACTTCAGACAAAATCACTAAGGTTTACTATATTATTAGACTTCACTGGCAGGTCCCCATTTAACAAACAATACAATATGGCTCTTGTCCACACCAGAAGTTCAGAAACACCTCTGTTCTGATCTTCCTCACTTTGCCATCCACCATCCCCTCTGGGCGTCAGACGTAAAGTGACTGGGATATTTCTTGTTGTTGGTACTCCCTCCCAATCTATTTTCCAATTTGTTTCACCTTTCCCAATTGAAAATGTTGGCAAAATATTCACCTCCTATATGATCCAGCAATTCTACTTCTAGATATATATCCAAAAGAATTGAAAGCAGGGTCTTGAAGACATATTTGCACACAACTCTTACCTTGTGCGGAGGGAGCAGCAGCGAGAGCGAGGTCCATAAGCTGGCACAATAAAGAACCAGGGCTGATCCCAGGTGGGCAGCGAGGCGGTACTGACTGACCCGAGGGATGTCATGGGAGTCTGATTTTTCTTCTAGTCCGCTTTTCACCATATACCATCCCAAGAGACCCTAGAACCCCCAAGAGATGGAGCAAACAAAACAAGGTTAAAATGATCTGTTCAACTTTCTTTTTTTTTTTTTTTTGAGACAGAGTCTCGCTCTGTCACCAGGCTGGAGTGCAGTGGTGTGATCTCGGCTCACTGCAACCTCCGCCTCCTGGGTTCAAGGGATTCTCCTGCCTCAGCCTCCTGAGTAGCTGGGATTACAGGTGCCTGTCACCACGCCCGGCTAATTTTTGTATTTTTAGTAGAGATGGGGTTTCACCATGTTGGCCAGATGGTGTCGATCTCTTGACCTCGTGATCCGTCCGCCTCGGCCTCCCAAAGTGCTGGGATTACAGGCGTGAGCCACCATGCCCAGCCTAATCTAATCTGTTCAACTTTACGGAAGAAGTGAGCTATCAGGAGTACTCTCTAACCCACCCCTCCTCTTTCCATACCCTCCCCAATATGCAGTGTCCAAGGATTCATGACTTATCCACAATTCTTCACATATCACCATTAATACTTAACTACTATTTAGATCTGAAGTGTCCAATCTTTTGGCTTCCCTGGGCCACACTGGAAAAAGAATTGTCTTGGGCCATGCATAAAATACACTAACACTAACAATAGCTGATGAGCTTTAAGAAAAAAAAAAGGTCCATGGATATATCTCATAAAACTAGATTGAATGTTCTGGAGAAACTTTAAGGTAAATGCTTAAAAACATCTACTATCCAGTTAGGTTGGAATAAGATAATTATAAAAGTTTCAGGGGAAAATCATAAAAATCAATAAGGTTTTGCATGCAGGTTGCTTTGCAAATATCTAAGTTCCCACTCCTCTTTAAGCAAAAGCACAGTTTATGGGGACATAAGAAACCAGCAGTTGAAGGCCAATCTGGGGATGCATAGTCAAAGAAAAGACCTTGATTTTTTAAAAGCTGGTAATGAACGATTTAAGTTTAAAAGTTTATGGTATGTATCATATTCTATGATTCTGTGCTTTAACTGGCTTTTTCAATTAACCAAACAACTGTCAATTCCAATCATATGAGATCAGACAGCCCTTTCACCCCCACTTGCCCAGCTCAGTAGAATCAGGTCAAAGAGGTGGATTCTGCCACTTCTAAATATATACTCTTCCGAAAATCTTTTTGAGTATTTCTCTCCCCTTTCAAGATTACCCTGGATATTCTAATTACCTTGATTTCATCTGCATGAGACATTGAAAGATGAAGACATACACAGTGTGATTCACTAGCCCACTTTCTTCTCCCATACCTCATCTGACATCTTCAATTTCTGCCTCCCAAATAGTCCGTTTTCAGTGTTGGCTTGTTTTTGTAATTCTAAAATGTTAACTTTCATTTTGTTCTACCTGCCTTTCTCTTGTTACTATTAGACTTTGATTAATGTTTAACGATTACCTGTTTCTGCTGCCTCTATTTCTTCTCTCTCATCTCCCTCCTTAATCCCCCTTTTTTTTTTTTTTTGAGACAGAGTCTTACTCTGTTGCCCAGGCTGGAGTGCAGTGGTGCAACCTCGGGTCACTGCAACCTCCGCCTCCCGGGTTCAAGCAATTCTCCTGCCTCAGCCTCCCAAGTAGCGGGGCCTACAGGCCCATACCAACACGCCCAGCTAATTTTGGTATTTTAGGTAGAGACAGGGTTTCAATATGTTGGCCAGGCTGGTGTGGAACTCCTGACCTCAAGTGATCTAGCCATCTCAGCTTCCCAAAATGTTGGGATTACAGATGTGAGCCACTGCGCCCAGCCTTAATCCCTTCTAATTGGCTCACTTTCTTACCACTTCTGAGTTAAATTAACCAATTAGCTTCCTCCTGATTAAATTTTGATGATGTTTCTTTGATGCTCTGATAATCTCCTTTAGGATCTCTATACCTTGACCCAAATACTCCTATGTGTCTTCTCTCTTAATTCCTGGCTCAGTTTCACCCAACTTTTTTTTTTTTTTTTCCATCATCCTAGCAGTACTAACCTGCTAATTGTGGGAATCTTTCCTTAAGAGGCACTCAACTTACATGATTTTAATTGCCATTTATATATGAATCTCTCTCAGCTACATGGGTATTCTATAATCTTTCATCCCACAAAGTGTTTCTTTCTTTTGGAATTTTCCTGTATGCTTCTGTAGCATTCTAGCACAGGGATCCCACTTTCTTACAGCAGACAAGTTAGAAAAAGGGAAGAGACAAGAACCTAGGGAGGCACCCGTGATGGGAAACAAACTACTTCCTGCAGCACATGAAAATATACTACCAAGTGCTTACTGATTCCAGGCACAAAGCTAAGTACTTTAAATATGGATTATCTCATTTAATATTTACACAACTGGGCCGGGTGCGGTGGCTCAAGCCTGTAATCCCAGCACTTTGGGAGGCCAAGACGGGTGGATCACAAGGTCAGGAGATCAAGACCATCCTGGCTAACACGGTGAAACCCCATCTCTACTAAAAAAAAAAAAAAAAATACAAAAAACTAGCTGGGTGAGGTAGCGGGCGCCTATAGTCCCAGCTACTCGGGAGGCTGAGGCAGGAAAATGGTGTAAACCTGGGAGGCAGAGCTTGCACTGAGCTGAGATCTGGCCACTGCACTCCAGCCTGGGTGACAGAGCCAGACTCTGTCTCAAAAAAAAAAAAAAAATTTACACAACTGTACATGGTGGCACTGTTATTATCCCCATTTACAGGTAAAGAAATCACAGCTTTCAGAGGTTAGGTAATTTACCTTACTAAGTGTCAGAGCTGGGGCTTGAAGCTAGGCCTGTGACACTAAAATGCATGCTCTTACCTACTCTATTAAAGTGACTCAGATTATTTCCTTAAAAACAATGCCAACTAGGGGCCAGGCGCGGTGGCTCATGCCTGTAATCCCAGCACTTTGGGAGGCCGAGGCAGGCAGATCATGAGGTCAGGAAATCCAGACCATCCTGGCTAACATGGTGAAACCCCGTTTCTACTAAAAATGCAAAAAATTAGCTAGGTGTGGTGGCGGGTGCCTGTAGTCCCAGCTACTGGGAGGCTGAGGCAGGAGAATGGCGTGAACCTGGGAGGCAGAGCTGCACTTCAGCCTGGGCGACAGAGCAAGACTCCGTCGCAAAAAAAAAAAAAAAAAAAAAGCCACCTAGGAAGCTCCTGGGAGCATGTCTGGTTTCTCAACCTCGAATAAATCTTACCTGGAAGCAGACGAGGCCACAGAGGGCAAGAACACGTCCTTTCATGCCACGGCTGAGCCAGCCCTTTCTCCAAAAGTAGGCAGCAGGCAGGATGTACGCAAGGCCTACAAGGCGACCCCACATTCGGTGTGAGTACTCCATGTACCAGATGAACTTGAATTCTGTCAGTGTCATATCATGATTCAAGCTGGGTGAAATGGAAAGTCAAAAAAGAAGGAGGAAACATCCTTCTGATTTTTATTTTCTTATGGAACGCAAAAACTTTCTTTCTCAGTCCTGCAACTTGGTAGGTCTGCCCTCTTCCTCATCAACAACCTCAGGATGACTTTGGATTTGGAGGCTTAGAAGAGAAGCTGACTAAACATAACTGAACCAAAGATCATGAAATAATCTAACCATTCTGAAGGGTTTAAGTGCAAAAGATCAAATGGGCCCACTGGGATGTTTACCTAATGTTCTTTCGTACTTACATTTTAAATTCTGGAAATTGCTGGTATCTTTGGAATTCTGCTTCCCATTCCTCTTGGCTTGTAGGTGGCTTCATCTCCTTTATTAAATGCCAATCTACCATCGAGAGGCCAGACTCTGTCAACCTTAGGATAGGAAAGAAATGTTGGGGTGTATGTGTAAGGCTGGATTACTCACAAAAGGTTTATAGCAACAAGTGGATCTGAACTTAACCTCGTTAAAGGTAAACAGAATTGTTTCCTCTTTTGAAACACTTCTCTCTTACTGCTTAGAATTTTGTCAGAAACAGCTGCCATCAGGTACAAATTTATTTACCCTTATATTCTCTCAATCCTTTTCTTTCTTTTTTATTTTTTTTCCCAATTCTTTCTTTCACTAGCATTCCTTGACAGGCAAACTCAACCCCTGCAGCCAAAGCAATCTGTTCTAAATGCATAACCAACATTCCTGACCCAAGGAAAAGAGATCTATTACATGTATACTGGTTTAGATTCTTGGGTGAATTTAAAGACAATACATTCAAATGTGTTGCACTTGCTCATAACAACCTATATAACACATAAAGTATTTTGAAATAAGGGACGTGGAATGTGAAGAGAATTTGAGGAAGGTATATTTGATTAAAACCAGAAACTTTTTCACCAAAAGGAGTTAGGATTCCTAAAGTAAAAGGCTGATTTTAGGCCTGAGGCAAGAAATGTACAAGATGAGCTTGGAATATCTTGTCATGCTAGAAAGGAAGGAAGCTATCAAAGGTAATTAGGGCCCTGCCAAAAAGTCACTAGAGCCAATTTCAGGAGATGCCCACTGACTAAAGATGAGACAATCTGAGCAAATCACTAACACCATCATCACAACGAACTGAAACATTATCAAGTGTGTTTGAACCTATGATCTCATAATAAGCCTTAAAAATCCAAATGCTTTATTTGTTGCCTTTGGAGGATTTGGGGGACCAATTTATTATTTTGAAAATTGGTAAATAAAGGGAAAGAAGAATTAAGTATTTATCCTGCCTTTCCTATACAAATTATACCTTGGGATATCCAGATTGATGATGAGGGAAAGCTTTTTAGAGTTGAGCTAATAAAATGTTACAATTTTACTATGCTAATGAAACAATGGATCCAGGCGATGGTAATTAATGGCTGTTAACATCTATAATACACACCAGATATTCATGAATGTTCTATTCACCTACTGAAGTATTTTGCTCCCTTATCCCCAATCTGAATCTGATCAAACAACTACTCATTCACAGGAAGTAGAGGGGATAAAGGAACATGTTAAATATCACATGGTTATGCAATCAGCAAAATCTAGACTGTGCATAACCATAGGACAAATGACTCAAGTTTCCTCAGCAACTAAAAGAGGGGGAAAGGGAGGAATATCTAAATCTATAGTCTCTTCAAAGATTTAAATGAATCTAAGAAACATGAACCAATTGTGATGCACAGAACTTCTTTGGGTTTAATTCAAACAAACTGTAAAAAAACTTTTGAGACAAACTTGGACTCTGATTGAAAGACAAAAGATACATAAACAATGCACAGGTACCAGTTAAGACATAAACCAGTCTTTATAGAAGGCTCCTACTAATAAAACACTTAAATGTTCTACAGCAGGGCAAGCCATCAGATGTGTTCCTTCTTTAAGGCCTCAGTTTCTCCATCTGTACAATAAGGGAGGTAGACTAGATGCTCTGTAAAATTCCTTTCTCCAACTGGGCGCGGTGGCTCATGCCTGTAATCCTGGCACTTTGGGAGGCCGAGGTGGGCAGATCACCTGAGGTCAGGAGTTCGTGATCAGCCTAGCCAACATGGTAAAACCCTGTCACTACTAAAAATACAAAAAATTAGCCGGATATGGTGGCATGCGCCTAGTCCCTGCTACTTGGGAGGCTGAGGCAGGAGAATCGCTTGAACTCAGGAGGCGGAGGTTGCAGTCAGCCTAGATCACACCACCGCACTCCAGCCTGGCCGACAGAGCGAGACTCTGTCTCAAAAAAAAAAAAAAAAAAAAAATTCCTTTCTCCTCAGTCAACCTGTGCTTCTACTTATGATCAAAATACCTGACTCACTATGAGCAAATTACTCACCTAGTTACTCCACCAAGAATAACTGCTCCAGCCACTGTTCCACTGCAGACCAGGAGCCATCGGCCCACCACCCGCTCGGCAGCCTTTGAGGGAAGAGACACTGTACCCCTTCCAGATTGCAAAGCTACTTCAGAGATGGTGCTGTATTGCCCTGGCCTCAAAGGGCGCCTGATGCAATCACACTAAAGATCAAGATAGACAAATTACAACTGGATAAACAGGGAATGGCTGCTACCCACACTCAACCCCATTCTGATTAGGGTGAAGTACCATAGCATCCCCACAGCTATGTCTTGGTAAGTCATCATCTCTTATCTGGATTACTGCATCAACCTTCCAGCTGGTTTTCCAATTGGTTTCAAATCTAGCCTCACTCAAACCTATCCCCAACTACATGAATTTTCTCATCATCATCTCTGAATACTTCCCTCAGACTTCACTCTACTTACAGATATGGAATATTTTCTTTCACCTCTAGGTCTTTAAACATTTCTTTCTGGCTTGTACACTTCCTTTCGCCTGATTAATAATACCTACTGCAGATCTCTGCTTACATGTCACCTCCTCTGGGATTGTTCCCAGGCTCTTTAAGGTCTGCAATAGGTCACTCCCACAGCACACTGGACAGCCCTTAATACACTGTAATGTATAGTCAAGCATCACTTAACAACAGGGGCACATGTTCTGCCAAATGCGTTCTTAAGCAATTTCATCATTGTGTGAACCTCATAGAATGTACTTACACAAATCTAAAGGCTGAGTGTGGTGACTCACACCTGTAATCCCAGCACTTTGGGAGGCCGAGGCAGGGAGATCACTTGGGTCAAAAGTTTAAGACCAGCCTGGCCAAAATGGTGATACCCCATCTCTACCAAAAATACAAAAATTAGCTGGGCGTGGTGGCGTACGCTTGTAATCCCAGCTACTTGAGAGGCTGAAATGGCAGAATCACTTGAACCTGGGAGGCGGAGGTTGCAGTGAGCCAAAGTCTCACCACTGCACTCCAGCCTATGCGTTGATGCGAGACTCCACCTCTCAAAAAAAAAAAAAAAAAAAAAAAGAAGTACTTAGTGAAATCTAGATGATACAGCCTACTACACCCCTGAGGTATATGGTATGACTTATTGCTCTTAGGCTATAAATCTGTATGGCATGTTACGTACCGAATACTGTAACAATGGTATTTGTTTATCTAAACATAGAACAATTACAGTAAAAATATGGTATAAAATATTTAAAAATGGGGCCAGGTGCAAAGGCTCATGCCTACAATTCCAAGGCTTTGGGAGGCCAAGGTGAGAGGATCACTTGAGGCCAGTAGTTCAAGACCAGCCTGGGCAATATAGCAAGACCCTCCCGTCTCTATTTTTTTTAAAAATTAGGCACAGTGTCACACACTTGTAGTCTTAGCTACTTAAGTGACTGAGGCAAGAGAATGCTTGAGCCCAGGATTTCCAAGTTGGAGGCTGCAGTGAGTTATAATCATGCTACTGCACTCCAGCCTGGGTGACAAAGTAAAACCCTGTCTCTAAAAAAGAAATTTAGAGAAAAAGATTTTTTTTTTTAAAGGTACACTTGGAAAGGCAGCTCTGTTATAATCTTACGGAACCATGACTGTATCTGTGGCCTATTGTTGACCAAAATGTTGTTATGCAGCACATCGCTGTCCCTTCAGGTTCATCTGTTTGTATCTCCCACTAAACTATGAGCTTTGGGGTAGCAGTGTCTGGTCAGTCTTGCTCTCTCCCTTCTGCTACCTTTGTTTCTAACACTGTTCCTTTATATAACGAGACCATGATAAAGATTTCACAAATGAATAAACTGACTTCCTCCAGGGCAGGAGTCTTATAATATTTATCTTTCTTTTTCCAGTTCCTAATATATAATAACCACTCAATAATTACTAGGTAAGCAAACGCATGCCCTCTTCTGACTATACCCCTATGAGTCCAAAGATTCATGCTCAGTTTCCTACTTCTGATTAACTGAGTCACCTTTAGAAAAGTAACTTTAAGCCTCAATTTCCTTCTCTGTAGAATGCAGTTATACTTCCTCACCTGACTACTTGGAACTTTTTAAGCAAAAATAAACTATAAGGGTAAAAATTACTAAGCTTTTACCATGTGCTAAAGGCCTGATGTATATTAAAGAATGTAATCCTCATAACAAACCTTAAAGTAGGTATTGTTATCCCCATTTTACAGATAAGGAAATCGATGAACAGAAAGTTTAATTAACTTGGCCAATACCACACAGTAGGTCAATGGTCCAGATCTGAACCCTAGGGGCTCTGAACACAAGGAAATGCGTTGTGAGTAAACTGTAAGGAGCTCCGGAAACGTGATGTGGGGCTGTCCATCATCTTTATCCCGGCCCTTTCACTCCATCCCCGCTCACGCGACTCGGAGTCCGCTGCAGTGCGGTACCTGTGCTCTAGGCGCTGCCCTACGAGCCAGGAGCTGCAGACACTGCCTCCCCTTCAAGGCCCTAAAGGGCGGAAAGAGCAATCGCTGCATACTGATGACAGTGCACGGCCACCTCTTCCACAACCCAGAGCTCTGTGGTCTCCTTTCTCCGCCACGGAAAAGAGAAGCACTTCCGGGTCGGGCAGCGGGAACCCCGCCTTCTCTGGGGACCGGAGTGAACAGAAGTGCGCCTGCGTTGCGACTTCGCTTTCGCGGGGGCTGCTGGGTCGTAGGCGTCGGGGATGCGCGCAGGGGCGCGCGCAGCTGTTGACTAGCTTCTTTGCTCGTGCGCGCAGGAGCCCAAACTCCCAGTGGAAACTGCAGGCGCACGAGGAAGAACGTGTGGAGCATGAAGAGGCAGGGGGCTTCCTCTGAGCGGAAACGGGCGTGGATACCGTCCGGGAAGGCCGGTGCGGAAGGTGGCGGGGGAGGGGACGGTCGGCCGACTCGGCTCCCCGGGGCGGGCCGGCGGGAGTCGTGGTCAGTGGTGATTTCTTCTGGAGTCGTTTCCTCAGCTCCTTCCAGCCCCTTGGGCGGCACCTTCTATTTTTGAAGCGTTAAAGGTGTGGAAACGGAGGGCGTGACGAGGGGCAGGTAGCGAGATTGGCTTGGCTGTGGAGCCAAAGTTCGAGTCCCGGGGTCCCCACATAACGGCCGGGCGACCCTGTGCAATTTGGTTAACTTCAGCTTCACGTTTTATCCGTCGCCACACGAGGATGCCAGTACCCCCCGCACCAGCAGCCAGTACTCCGCTGGGTTAATTGTCGAGCGCGGAGCCCAGTTCCTAACCTGCAGTTACCTGTAGCTGCCACGGCGGGGACGGGGCATGGTCCCTAAAGCCACGCAGCTACGAAGTGGCCGAGCTTGTGGCTGCTCCAAGTCCCGAGTTCTTCCTGAGTGCCAGGGTAGGATGGCATGGCAGGTGTCAGAGAATTTGGCAAGTCCCTCTTCCTCTTCCTCCGTGAACTCTTGGTTCCTCCAAACGATGACCTCAGGACTCCTTTACCTTCCTAAACGTTATCGAGATCCTCAAAGATCTTTATGTGGATTACATCTATCGATTTTGACTGTATTAGAAATTAAAACAAATTTTTCTTTGGGAGGCCAAGGCGGACAGATCACCTGAGGTCAGGAGTTCAAGACCAATCTGGCCAACATGGCGAAACCCCATCTCTACTAAAAATACAAAAGTTAGCCGGACGTGGTGGCAGGCGCCTGTAATCCCAGCTACTCGGGAGGCTGAGGCAGGAGAATCACTTGAACCCAGGAGGCGGAGGTTGCAGTGAGGCGAGATCAGGCCATTGCACTCCAGCCTGGGCGACACAGCGAGACTCCGTCTCAAAAAAAATAGGCCGGGCGCGGTGGCTCAAGCCTGTAATCCCAGCACTTTGGGAGGCCGGGACGGGCGGATCACGAGGTCAGGGGATCGAGACCATCCTGGCTAACGCGGTGAAACCCCGTCTCTACTAAAAAAAAATACAAAAAAGTAGCCAGGTGAGGTGGCGGGCGCCTGTAGTCCCAGCTACTGTCCCAGCTACTCGTGAGGCTGAGGCAGGAGAATGGCGAAAACCCGGGAGTGAGCTTGCAGTGAGCCGAGAGCCGGCCACTGCACTCCAACCTGGGCGACAGAGAGAGACTGGTCTCAAAAAAAAAAAATAAAATAAATAAATAAAAAATAAAATAAAATAAAATAAAATAAAAATAAAAATTTAAAATATTGATCGATTGATAGATTAGAAAATAACCATAGTAAGCCCATTACACGTTGACATATTTTATGAAAAAGAAATGTTCCTAAACAAAAAAATCAAAAAAGAGTGGGAATATTTTACATTTTTGCAAGTTTCTTCAATATGTCTTAATGGAAGACAGCTGGATTCTCATACCCGCTGCTTCATTCAGTCTAACATGTCAAGTAGCCTCTTGCAGTGAGCCGAGATTGCGCCAATGCACTCCATCTTGGGTGACAGAGTAAGACTCTGTCTCAAAAAAGAAAATGCCTCTCACTTGTGAGAGAATTAAAGTGAAAAAGGCGAATAAAGTCTTAGTATTATTATGAAAATGGTTGTCACCCTACAGACGCTGAAAAGTCTCAGAGGCCCCCAAAGCTACTTGAAGTACTACACTTTGAGAGCTGCTGCTGCTGCTCCTTTGATCTCTGTAACTTTGTTGCTTGGGAGAACTGCCTTGCTCTGCCTTCTGTCATAGCCTTTTTTAAACATCTCTTCATCTTCTCCTGCCTAGGGTCCTTTCTTAGGTAAGGCAAATAGTCGCCTGGCAGCATCAGCATCGGCCAGTGCCACTGATCTGACAGCTGGTCTGGGAGCTATCAGGAAACTCATGGAGTTAATGCAGAGCTGTTGGTTAAGAGCATAGGTTGACACTTAACCCTTTTTGAGTTTGAGACCGGTCATCTTTTTTGTTTTTGTTTTGTTTTATTTTTTGAGACGGAGTCGCTCTTGTCGCCCAGGCTGGTGTGCAGTGGCCTGATCTCGGCTCACTGCAACCTCCGCCTCCCAGGTTCAAGCAGTTCTCCTGCCTCAGTCTCCTGAGTAGCTGGGATTACAGGCGCCTGTCACCACGCCCAGCTAATTTGTGTACTTTTAGTAGAGATGGTTTTGCCATGTTGTCCAGGCTGGTCTCAAAATCCTGACCTCAGGTGATCCGCCTGCCTGGGCCTCCCAAAGTACTGGGATTATGGTCGTGAGCCCCCGCGTCCGGCAGGGACTTAAGTAAGGCATAAGGCAGTTGCAGTCTGATGTTAGCAGATGATAGGTTTTTGTTTTATTTCTTTTTCAAAGTAAAAATTCTTTTTTTAAATTATAAAAGCAATATTGGGTAGAAAAAATAAAGCAATAAAGAAAAGTAAAAAGAAAATAAAAATAATTTCAAATCACGCCCCACCAGAAGTGGCCATTACCAGTATGTGAAGAACATTTATTAAATGTCATTGTGTGAAGTGTGCATTGTTTTGTTCATTTTTTTAAATTATGTGCTCCTGGAAAAAAAAACTCTGTTTACATCACACTTTGTAATATAAGTACATTAATTTTGTTGTAATTATTCAGCTTTTAGTAAATATTTGATTATTGTGTACCATGGTAGATACTGTGCTTGGTGTGGGTGATGATAAAGATTTCTCACATGAAGACCTTACTTAGGCCAGACGTGGTGGCTCATGCCTGTAATCCCAGCACTTTGGGAGGCCGAGGCTGGCAGATCACTTGAGTGTAGGAGGTTGAGACCAGCATGGGCAACATGGCGAAACCCTGTCTCTACAAAAAATACAAAATTAACCAAGTATTGTGGCACATACCTGTAGTCGTAGCTACTGAGGAGGCTGAGGCACAAGAATTGCTTGAGCCCAGGAGGTGGAAGTTGCAGTGAGCCGAGATCATGCCACTGCACTCTAGCTTGGGCAACAGAGCAAGACTGTATTAAAAAAAAAAAAAAAACAAAAAACAACAACTTAGGAACTCTAAGTCGAGTAAAAGTGATCAGATATTTATCTGCATAAATAATAAAAGGTAGAAAGTAATTCATATTTTAAGAAGGAACAATTGGGGTTTCATAACTCATGAAGAGTTAAATGAGTTCAAAAGAGAGACATAAAATTTTCTACTTCGGGAGAGAGAAAAAAATCATGGAAATGTTCCTTGCAAAATTTTATTCAAAGATGGAGCCAGAAGGAACTCTGGGTTGCGGAGAAGGCATTGAGGAGCCAGCGGTAGGGACTGGAGAGGTCTGAAAGCATAAGAAGGAATGAGACAGTATCGCTCTGTCACCCAGGCTGGAGTGCAGTGGCACAATCTTGGCTCACTGCAACCTCCACCTCCCGGATTCAAGCGATTCTCATGCTTCAGCCTCCCAAGTAGCCGGGATTACAGGCGGATGCCATGATGCCTGGCTAATTTTTCTATTTTTAGTAGAGATGGGGTTTTACCATGTTGGCCAGGCTGGTCTCCAATTCCTGACCTCATGTGGTCCACCCGCCTTGGCCTCCCAAAATGCTGGGATTACAGGCATGAGCCACCACACCCAGCCAGATAAGTAATACTTTTTGATTCTTTTTTTTTGAGACGGAGTCTCGCTGTGTTGCCCAGGTTGAAATGCAGTGGTGCGATCTCGGCTCACTGCAAGCTCCACCTCCTGGGTTCACGCCATTCTCCTGCCTCAGCCTCTGGAGTATCTGGGACTACAGGCACCCGCCACCGTGCCTGGCTAATTTTTTGTATTTTCAGTAGAGATGGGGTTTCACCATGTTAGCCAGGATGGTCTTGATCTTCTGACCTTGTGATCCACCGTCCTAGGCCTCCCAAAGTGCTGGAATTACAGGCGTGAGCCACCGTGCTCGGCCTACTTTTTGATTCTTGAGACTGCATACTTTACATGAATTATCTCATTTAATCCTCACTACTCTGAGGTAGGTTGTTTTATAGGAAACTTAAGTAACTTATCTAGGATCTCACGATAAATAGTTGGTGGGACGTGGATTTGAAGTCTGTCCTGCTTTTAAACCTATATTCCTTATAAAGAAGTTTAAATATATTTTGCAGACATTGAGAAACATTGTAAGAATCTTAGCTGGAATGTGATGATGAGGTCTATGTTTTAGGAAGATTAATTTGGTATTCAATATACATTTTCCTCAGTATAATTTTTTATACATCTGTCAGTGAGCCTATTTCAGTCTACAGGCATCAATTCAATAATTAATGTGATATTTTATTGCATTCATGGGCCCTAGTGTACTTACCTATTTGCCTATTATTGGACATTTGCATTTTGGCAGCAAAATGTAAACCCTTTGTGGTCAATTGGTCTGGATGGATAGAGCGTTTATGAACTCTTACCGTTTTCCATCTATTTTAGGAGCAGCAAATGGATTTCTCATGGAAGTTTGTGTTGATTCAGTGGAGTCAGCTGTGAATGCAGAAAGAGGAGGTAAGAGAAATTAGAGAATGAATGACAGTTGGCTACCTTTTTAAGAGTCCTTATTTTTTAGAGACACACACTGAAATATTTAAAATGAAATAACATGATGTCTGGGATTTGCTTCAAAGTAATCTGAGGTTGAGAGAGGAAAGACTATAAAAAAATAGTTGCATCACATCAGGAGGACATAACGTGTTGGTTTTTTCTGTTTTTGTGATATTAAAGGGAGTTCAGGTATT